GTCAAATGAATGTGCCCTGACCTGTGTATTACAAGTTTATTGTTTGATTTAAATTATGAATTTATTAATGGCAGCTTCGCTTTCAGCCCTGGCTAAATCTATATATTATTAGTAATGGGTTATTGTTTGTCAGATTGTGTCCATTTTCATTCAGCAGCCTCACCAAGCATTTTGACTGGTCGTAGAAACGGGGTAATTTTATAAAGAAAATAACGACTCAGGACTCCCAAAGGTGGTCGTTGGTTGTAATAACGGGGTGGTCGGATTAACGGGGTTTTCAGATAAGAAAATGAGTGGGCTTTTGTTCGGGCCACAAAAAAGTGGTCGCAATAACAGGGTGGTCGTATTAACGGGGTGGTCGTATGGAGGAGTTCCACTGTATTTTATTTTTTCATCTCCCTTAAGCGGCTCCTTCACACGAACCGGGTTGACATTGGTGGCTTGATAGACAATTCTCTCCGCACCATCATTTTATTTTTAAAATTTGTTTTTTTGTACAAAACCTCGTCCCTCTTAAACATGCGCTAAGAATCAGGGTGGCGCTCTTTGCTCTTGGCGGTGAGGAAAAAAAGCTCATTAGAAGATATTACTAAGGCTAGCATAGTTAACTGGGAAAAATGTGTTCCAACCAGGCGCGCTCCTATTTTGGGGTTAATCGCCAAATTGTTATTGAATACAGCGATGAAAGAACTTTCAGAACAGTAGAAAACAACTGAGTTAAGAGCTTTTCAACTGCGTATGCTATTTCTTTACGCGTAGGCACGGTCAACCGAACCCATAATAAATGCTTATATAGCAGAAAAATATTAAGATATTTCGCTTGAATTTGTTCTGAACACATTTTAATTCTATTGCATTTTTGGTGCTTCAAACTTGTTAATACAAAGGACTTGAATATTTATAATATTGGCGTGACTTCAGCCGGTTGGACTGTTTCCTCCACGTTGAATTTAGACCTTAGCATTAAGGATACATTAATATTCTATTCCATTTTTAATATGAAACTGGGTAACGCAAATAAAACTAAAGCCACTGTCAAAATTTGTCAATACCTAACGGCAGCCCGGCTTATTAACGAGTTAATGTTGCTTATTTTGATGACATATTTTAGAGATGTTTTACAGTATTTTGTCTTCTAAAAGTGTTTCCTGAATGCTTCTCTCTTTCCTCGTTCCTTTTTTAACAAGTCTACTTTGTCCTCTATTTTATTTTTCTTTACAGTGCCTCAGTAACATTTATTGAAATTGTGAAGTAAATAAAAACGAATATGAGCAACAAAGAGCATAAAAATGCTTGTGAAGACCTTGTTAGCTGTTATAAAAACATTTTTACTTTTTTTGCTAAGCAGGTGAAACACGATTGTCAAAATTGAAACCCACCCTTTGAAGAAAATTCTTTATTAGCTGTTTCGTTAGTATTTCCAGCAACCAATAGGAAAAATTAAACATCCACATTTGGAATGGCACTCATGAATAATTTACCCTATCTTATGAAGGAAAATTAAGCCCTTTAGGTATGATTGTCCCATATCGTGCTTGGTGGGTCATCAGCGAGGTTCTGGGTAATTCTTCTCCAAGGTCCCAGTTCAAGCATGATAAGCTTTTCTTTGTCCGTTTTGGATTTCCTGGCTTTGTGTTTCCTTTGGGGAGTTTGGTTGCAATACAGTACGGATGCTCATCAAGGTATGGGTTATATATGCAATTTTTAATTAAAACATTTAAGCTTCATGATGTTTTGTCGCCTTATTAAATATCAGGTAACCTTATCTTTTTAACAGTTTTACGTTCAATTGCATTCATGGTGGAAACTTTTAACTCACATCAATTAGATTTAAATTTTCCCTTTTCTTTTCTTTTCGATTTCTTTTTTAGTTTGTATATTTAGTTATTTTTTGTGAAAGTTAAAGCATATTTGACCAAAAAATTAAGCTTTTTTCGTTGTTGTTGAGAAAGGGACTGTGACAATGCCAAGCATATGTTTTGTTACCGTTTATTCTTTTAATAAATCCTTTTGAAGGTGCTCATAGGGTTCTCCATACTTTCTCTTCATTCTTTGAAACACTCAGGTTCATATTTTTAGTTTCGTCTTTCTGTATGACAGCTTTGGAATTCAAGGATTAAATTTTTCTTAGGCTGGTTACAAATTATACTTTAAAAATTTCACACAACCATTAAAAGATGGTGGTCTTCCATTGAGCGATGATTTTGTCTTGCTGCGAACCTCTTGATAAGCCACGATGACCAGGCTTGCTTTTGGTTGACTGAGATGTAACTTCTACCCATTTTCCTTTGTCAAAAAATTAGTGTGTTCAAATGGAGAACGGTTTAGACCGGTTAACTAAGATCATGTCCAACCCAGCTGGAATTAGCCCGTGTATAGACCTCAATGCGGTTCAATTTGAACCGGGACAAAAGTTTAATTTCAGTTACGGATCCGTCACCATGCTTTTGAATAAAGTGAGAACAATACTACCTTTTACGCCCTAATTTCATGTAATGTGTGAGTTTATCGCCAAAAATGATTTCTGAATATTCAATACTAAGTAACGATGGGAGAATATTCAAAATTGCAAGCAAAAAGATGGAGCTGATGGAGAGTTTTTCCGCAACTTTGCTGCTTGCTATCACCGTTTAAAATCTAATTTTATACACTGTTTATTGTATGGATCAAAAACGCAAAATTTCCCTTTTAATTTCTCTTTACGTGCCAAGCCACAACTATGCCACTGAGGTTTACTGCCATAAGTTGTTGTAAACGTAATTGCTTTTCCTAATATGTCATCCCACCCCACACTATTTCCACAACTTTAAGCAACGAGAAATTCAACTCTGGAATACGGTGATGGAAATACGTTTCAGTCTATGCCCCTACAAAGTTCTGTTTCATCCGGAAATTTATGATCTAGTTGCAACTGAAAAGACACTATTATTTCGCTTTAAAAATATCTTGTAGATGTATATATCTATATTATGATACATTTTTAATGCTCAAACTAATTAACACAAAGGGGACTATCATGAATATTTTTTTATGGCATGTCTGGCGGCGAGACTGTAGGAACACTGCAGCATCAGGATAAATGTAATTTTGCAAAATTTTCTTTTTGTAGGATTCGTTTAAATGCTTCAGTCTTTCTTTTCTCGTTTCTTTCCCTCATATTAGTCTGCTTTGTCTTCCTTTTTTTCATTTTCTTTTCAGTGATTCAGTAACAGTTATGAAGTTGAAACTGAAACAACTGCGTTTAAAATCTAATCTTTAACCTATAAAAGACTATTCTTTTTACACGCTGTAGGTGTACAAAAAACAATCCCCACAAGAAAGCATCTAATATTAACAGGAGTCATCCTTTAAAAGTTTTGTTTTTTATTTTGCAACAGTCAGTAGCAAACACTGACCACCATAGTTATATTGTCAAATGATTTTAGCAAGGTTTTGGCGGAGGCAAATTGGCTGAAACGTTTTCATTTCAACCATGGCCAGCTTTTTCGTGTCCGTTCTCGCAGTATAAGGCTCCTCTTAATGAAACACCAAATGACTTGCACCAACTGACAATGATTCATTCATTTCTATTTATCTATTATTATCTCAATGAAATAAGTGCCTATAAAGTCCAATTATGTTATTTGCAAAGCAAAATTAAGTAGATTCGAGTGGCACTTTAAAGTGGCAAACACTTTTCAGGCATTTTTCTGGGTTTTGCCTGATATTTCAATGTCACATGGTAGCCTCTCCTCTCTCCATAATGACTTAGAGCACATGCGAAGAATATGAGGATAATCATACCTAGAAAAGTGCTCTTTTTACCAAATGAGCTTGCCGACAAACAACATGCATGCATGAGGGAATGATAAGAGACATTTCACTGATTTTTAACGAATTTAGAGTTGCTCCTTTGTGATTTATGTGCAATTTATACCTGGATTTTTGCGGAAAACCGAGTAAGCGAAAAATCAACTCATTCTACTACTTGGCACCTTAAAAAAAATGAATAATCATTCTAAGGCCGATTTTAAGCCTTTACCTGACGTTGGGTAGTAAGTTAGTGGTCCCTAGAAGCATTTCAACGACTCCAAATTTAAAATGATGCAAATGTTAGAAAGTTTATTCAGTAATCCGACTCCGTGAAGTTTCAAACCGGTATCATTCAGTTTCAGTCTAGAAATTTTTAGGTTGCGTGAACTGCAGCCAAAAAGTGCCTGGTTAAGGCTTACTTATCAACTCAAGTAGCCTAGCAAAACACTCCTTTTTTTTGCGTTCCGATTTATGACAGGATTTCGCATGGAATACACAACAAACTGATTGAAACATCACCACCTTCTTATCTGCCAAAACCGGCCTAAATGGTTCAAAGCCAAGAGTCCGCTAAAAATAAACCTAGATCCAACTTTCCTCAGTCGAGAATTGGTTTTTCAAGGAAAAATAAGCTAAGCTAAACACCGACGAAATGTTTTTATGGCTGGCACAGAATATTTTGGTGCAACACCTCAACCACGAGACCACATACCTGAGTTCTGCCTGTCAACATCATGCAAAAATTACACAATCACACACTTTCGCGGCACTGATACGACTGTCCACAACCACGCATAATCTTCTCACGTTTAACACAAGCGAAATATCATCAAATAACTCGGAAAAACTCAGCCTATTGGCAGATAAACACCTTTTGACTTTTATCTTACACTCGTTTTATTCAAGTTCCCAGATGTACGGTCACACGGTCGGCAGACCAGCATAGACCCTGTTTGCACACCGAATAGCCTTCACCCGGATCAAAGTTCGCTTGCAATTTTGCTCTCGTCTAATTCATTTTACTCCTGAAAGCTTATTCCCGGGACCAAAGTCTTAGTGTTCACCTTAGAAAAGCGAACAATATCGTACCTTTCGGTCTCAGCCCGGATCGGGGTGATTGATCCTTATGTCTTTTTAGGCTTTTTTTTCTCTTAACAATCTAACTACACTTACTTTCATGGGGCAAATCTACAACAAAGAATTAAATTATTTTTGTAGGTGGATGCCGACGGGTCCAGTTTATACCCTCAGAAAGTGGATATTATTTCAAGGACCACGTGTTCCTAAATCTTTCCATTGGAATTCACGCATCGTGCGAGCATCGATGCGTCATGGAGGGTGAATGTGTATCTATCAATGTTGGTCCACCAATAAACGACAAAGTGATATGTGAGTTAAGTAACTCTGATCATTGGCATCACCCTAAAGATCTTCAACCAAGACACGGCTGGACATATAGAGGAGCAGAGGTAATTGAGTTCAAGGTCGTGTCGTGCTGTTTTTGCTAGCACGTGTGGTGATATTTTAAAAGCCGAAGGCTGAGGCAAAAAATTGGCCACTTCCGAGTTCCAAAAACCCTCACTTTCAAAATGAGGCCAAATGCACAACCTTTCTAAGGGACAATGAGTTATTTTTGCATGAGAATGAAAAATCATTTCCATATCAAAGTTGATACAGAGCCCTCGTTTTTATACAGAGGCCTAGGGGAACTCGGAAATGGCCTATTCATTTTGATCTAGGAGACATTGGCAAATAACGCTATTTTGCGATAATCGAGTTCAATAACTGTTTTATCATTCGATCACCAAATTTGTTTTTCAATATCTTCGGGAAGCGGAGCGATCTACCATTTTTCACGCAAGAGTGATCGCAAGAAGGAGAAAACCGTGGTTTTGTTTACGCATGTGAGCAGAATATCATTTGTACCCCGGGTACCGGAGTTTTGTTATCGCGTGCGACGAGAAGCTTCGTTGGTCGGAGGCCGACACGTCTTCGGCCGAAATCGGAAACCGCGCATGAAAAGCCTCTGGCAGCCAGGGTATATTATTTGCAAAGCAAACACCGTTAGACGACATTGCGCATGAGCAGACCATCATTTGTAGGCAGTTATTTGTAGGTCACGTGCTGGGCTTTCGGCCAATGAAAAGGAGGAAAATTTCCATCCAATGATAATAAGTTTAACGATTATTAAAGGGGCTATGCCAAGCCATTTGCTATCTCTTTAAAAAGCTCAAACTTTTTTTCACTTCTACTGAATTCATAAAAAAATGCATCGCCAGATTACTATAATTAGGGAGCTTAAGCAACAACCACGGCGACGGCTACGAAAACGTCACTTAAAAAGTGAAATGGCGTTTCCTCACACTTTATCGCGCTTCTTCCATCTGGTCTAATCCGTCAAATGTTGGCAAATGTTTTTGGAGTTGAATTCTAAAGGACTGCATCAAAGTTCAAGAAAAAAAGTTGTTGTCTTGTGTTCCCGTTCTCGATAAAACGTGACTTAATAAGGCATTTTCATGTTGTAGTCGGCTAAAAAATGTTCAAAACTGAAAGAGTGATGCGTGTGCAAAGTTGCTGTTTTGCTGATATAAACAATTATTCACTGAAGTGGAGGTGGTGAGTGGTGGTAAATGTCCCTCACTGGCCGCTGACACTGAGGTGAATAATTGTTTTAGTATATACGAAAGCAGTGAGATCATTAAGCACAAAATTAAAATGATGGATTTTTTAAAAACTCATTTACTGCTGCCAACGACAAAATTTGGCACGCAAATGTCATTTTTCCTTGCCGACAAATTACACTTTTCAAGGCACTTGTTTAGCTATTATGGGAAAATTTCTTTAAAAGGATTTATGAATTCTTTTTGTATTTGAAACCATTCTGTAAAGAACTAATAAATTTAGTTTTAAGATTACTTATGAACATGTCAGCTAAATAAAATAACCCAAGCTTCCGAACCGAATTTCGTCAATTTCCGGAGGGGCCCTTTAATGGAGGTTCTATTGTGCGTTACGAGTTTGGGGGGCTTTTGGAGGGGCTTATACATGGTACTTATTTTCGGAATTTTACCGTATCCTTATGACATAGTTGGTCAAGCGTTCTTTTGCCCAGTTGTTTTAAACCCAGGCAGAAACACCAAACAGGATCTCAGCAAAAACTGGTCAGAAGATTATGCTGCAAAGCAGCTGCGGGACAGACCTCACCTTAGCTCAAATAATCGCGCCATTAGGCGGAGACATTAATCGGTTGCCTTGTCTCCTTCTTCCTTCCGGCAGGCGACAAAAAAACAGAACGCACACTGCAGCCCCCCAGACAAACCTTCTAAGGGCTTCGTCACGCGTTTCTTCCCTACACGACGAACGCTTGTCGAAGCCAAAGGGAAGTCTGCGTGGGTGGCTAAACACTGCTCTTTCAGCCTGAAAAGCACCGGGCTCGCAAAGCCGGCGGTGATGCAAGTTGTGTGGTATTCCTACAATAACAATCTATCTCCAAGACATTTTGGCTTTGTTACTTCTCTTTTCTCTCTCGTTGGAGCCAATTCACAACTGAATTCATTGCTACCCTAAGAGAAAACGTGTTCTCTTCTCACAGAATCTATGCTGCAGCAATCCTTGCTGGAACAACGCCAAATGTCTCCTTGGGTTTACTGACAAGAAGTATCTTTGTGTATGTACATCGGGATACACAGGAGAGCACTGTGAAACAGGTATAGTGGAGAAACTGATTGTGACAGGTCATATTGCTGGTAACAATATGCAATGAATAACAAAGCCTTTAAACACCCCACTGAAGGGGAAACAAAAACAGGCTAATCAGTTTGTAGGGTGGGAATTTTAACATTTAACCTCGCCTGTTGATTCTTCTAGTAAATATAACAACGACAGCAATGATTTCCAATAAAATGCAAGTTGCACGAAGGCGCAGGTCAAAACAATAACAACTAGCTTCCAAGGTTAACTGGAAAAGCTTGATGTGCCCCCGTATAAATTACCTTTTGTGTCCTTTTGATTTGATAAACTGAACGGCGTCAAGCAGCGGAGGCCATGATTGCCTCCAAACTGTAATTTGTACAAAAACCCTTCCGGTATTGAAATTACGGACCGCATCAGCAATGGTTCACAGGTAACGACCAAGTGTGCAATCAACAACACGTTTACTTTGATGTAAAAAGTATCAGATTAACTTTTTTGCTCTTCATATGATTTAGATATCGATGAATGCAACATCGGAAGCCATGATTGCCATCAAAATGCAAAATGTATAAATACCCCTGGACATTTTAATTGCAGCTGTCAAACAGGATTCACAGGAAATGGTCGTCTGTGTCAGGATAAAAAAAAACCTTTTATTCCATAATCTGCTCTTTTGCCTCCATCTTGAAACTACTGGATTTATTTTTTCCTTGTTTTCCTTCTGTTACTCGCCGATCAGATATCGATGAATGCAGCAGCGGTAGCCATGATTGCCACCAAAATGCATTTTGCGTGATGCCAAGAACGCGGAACATTATTTTTTACAAGTGGAGGGACTCCTAGTAACTTACGAGAAAAAGGCTGAAGAGACACTCGTCATAGTTGTCTTTCCTTCGGAAAAAGTGAAGGGGAAGCTAACGCTTCATTGGCGATTTTACAACAACCGTCGACAAGAAAAAATGAGCATGTTAAGCATTTCAGTAGCAAACTTTGTAAACCATTATTTACTCTAAACGGCCACTGATCTGCGCGATGGAAGAAAAAGGAAAAATTCATTTTCTTTTGTTTTTTGCTCCCTGTGTTATTCAGATATCGATGAATGCATCAACGGCAGCCATGATTGCCATCAGCATGCAATTTGTGTAAATGCCGCTGGACACTTTAATTGCAGTTGTCAGGCAGGATTCACAGGAAATGGCCGCCTTTGTCAGGGTAACAGTAGCCCACGTTCGATATATTAAAATTCTTATATGACTCAGGGGCTTTCTGGTCATTTTTCTTCATTAGATTTAGTTTTCTTTGTGCTTAAGGCCCTGTTTACAAGGAGGGAGGATAACCCTGGTGCTAGGGTTGCTCTAGCAAGAGGGTTACCCTAGCACTCGCATATTTCTTCTTTTTTTTACACGACGTGTTTACAAGGTAGGTACGGTTACCCTAGCGCTAGGGTAACCCTACCTGAGTGCTAGGGTTACCCTGGCAAGAGGTTTACCCTACCTGCCTTGTAAACGCTCAGCTAGGGATAACTCGCCTACCCGGGTAGTTCCGCCGTCATGCATGACCAGTAATCGTACCAATTTGAACGGTATTATCCAATTTCTGAGCTTAATTATAAACATCTGAATAATAAGTAGTTATTTTCTGTCTACGATGATAGTATTTTCCCTTTCTTCGTGAATTTAACGTGTTTTCCATAGAGAACTTCAACATTATTTCAAATTTTGTACCGTTACAAAGAATGCACGCATGACGTAACACGTCAGCAAAGCTTGTAAAGTTGACCCGGGTGACAGGGTAACCCTACCTGTGAAATTTGCTTGTAAACCAACCTCGTCCCCAGGGCGCTTTTCCCTGGCATTGGAGGCCGCCAGACCTCCAAAGCCAGGGAAAAGCGCCCTGGGGACGAGGTTGCTTGTAAACCAGAGCTAACTTTAACCGGCTTGCTAGGGTAGCCCTAGCACAAGGGTAACCCTCTCTCCTTGTAAACAGGCCCTAAGTCTCTTATGGGAAATGCGAGACAATGAAGTCGTGAAATATTTGCAATTTTGACTCTAAAGCCTCGGAGTCGTGTCAGAATTTTAAAATATCGAACATGGGATAATGAAATCTTGGAGTTGTTATTTTTAGAATCGACAAACCTACTCGTATTACTTAAACCTCAAGGTCGTTTTTGGATGTATGCATCACTTCCTCTACATTCTGATGTGATACGGTTCGGTTTTTGTGATCACGATCGTCTAGTTTACTTGGTTCAAAAATCCAACACAATGAAATAAATTGGAATTAGAAACTTCAGAAAAATTCAGGATTTGAGATAAAAAAAAATTAAAAAAAACCTGCGAACCTCTAAATCTTAAAAATGTCGTTGATGCAATGCGGATCTGTTGGAAAATAATGTTTCTAGAAGTTTTGGATAGAAACGCCCTAATTCGAAAAAAGCCGGTCAGGAACAAACTATCCAGTCTCCCCTAAGTAAATAGTAAGATTACGCAACAAATGAGGGAGCGAGATCGTCTAGCTAGGATAAACGATAAAGAGAACCGAGGATAACAATTGGTCTCTTAAATTCGTATAAACATAACAACTTTCTTTAATTTTCCAGACATGTTTCGACGGTACATCCGTCATCTTCAGTGTTACATATTTTGAAATCGCCGTTGAATTTAAAGCGCCCGCGATCTTAAAAAGTTCGTTACATTGCATTGCGTTGTCAATATTGCGTACTAAAACAAAAAACATTAACCTGACTCTCTCCCTGTAAAGAACTAAGCGTCACTCATTTAATTTTTTTTTTTGTTTTAGTACGAAATATTGACAACTCAATGTAACGAACTTTGTTAGATCGCGCGCTTTAAATTCAACGGCGATTTCAAAATATGTAACACTGAAGATGACGGATGTACCGTCGAATTATGTCTGGAAAATTAAAGAAAGTTGTCATGTTTATACGACTATCTATATTGTTGCAGCTGTCTAGACAAAATGAAATTATTATGCTAGAATCAACTTAAAAATGAGCGTGGCGATCCAAAGCAAGCGTGAAGAATTATCAATAGCATTCCCGGGCGTAATAATCAACAGCTTGTCTCTCTGAGGCATGATACTGTCAGTGAAATTGAGTTAGACAAACACACAGTTTCCATCCCCTCAATCCCCAGACTATCAAATATCTTTACAGAATTAAAGCCCATAAACCAATAGTAATCGTAATATTGGAACTAAGCCAAAAAGATTGCCCTTCCTCTGCCCAAAAGAGGGGTAAAGACGTGAAATTGTGAGACCGTCACGTCATTTAAAACTGAAATCAAATCCCAATGGCCTTTGGGTCACTGCTGGAGAATATATCTCATTGGTATTTTTTTAGATAGCATATATAAAATTTAAGTCAGATTCTGTTTATTTCTTTTAGAATATTTAATGGATAGAATATAGTCTACAGTTTACAATTTTCGTAGCGTTTAGTTTAGACTGTATAATTTGATATTTTGTCATTATTATTTTATTAGTTATATGTTTTGCACGCCCCTAATGGAAACCCAGCTTTTGTTGAGTTAGGCTAGAATGGCTACATAAAGTTTATCCTCACTCTCTTATCTTATCTTATCTTATAAAATAAAATACAAATACCTTTAACTCATAATGTGGACGTTTATCTTAAAACCATCAGGTTTACATTTTCTTGCTCTTTTCCCTATGTCCGATCCTATGCTACTTAGATACCGATTAATGCAACAACGGCAGCCACGATTGCCACCAAAATGCAACTTGTGTAAATACAGCTGGACACTTTAATTGCAAGTGTAAACCGGGTTTCACTGGAAACGGGCGAAATTGTTCAGGTAAAGTTTTCTTTTTTACATTTGTGGGATGACTCAAGGAGCGTCCCCCGCTTCCACTTCCCGAGAAAGCTTGCTGACAGGGGAACGCGAAACATTTTTCCAGTTGGAGGAACTAGTAGTAGACTATGTTGAAACTTAACCTCATTTTGGATTTCCCTTGGATTTCCCGCATACTAGTTTGGATTTCCTCCATACTAATTAAGTGCCTTCCTCCATATATAATGAAGTGGATAGGTTTACTAATAAGCGTCACTCTACAAAATAGGAACAATAGGCTTGCCTAGACTTGCCCGGGCTCTTTTAACCCCTATTGGATAGTAAACAATCTATTATGTGTTTGAAATAAAAGCGGGCTCTCCGTTCAGCATATTACTCTTGCAATCGGTTTGCTAAGGAAAAAAGTCTTACTACCACCAATATTTTTGAAAACATCGCTTCAAACATGCAAGTCGAATCGAGCGCTTCACCTGTGCTGACCGAAGATAAAGCCAGTTCCTTACCCGGTCAGTTCTGCCCGTTTCATCCCCGCTCAACGTTGGAATTAATAGAAAAAGCGCAAGGATTTTTGCTATGTGCACTGCCATCTTGTGCAAACGCTCTAGAATAAGAAGGTAACTGTTTATCGTTTTCAATCTCTTCACGTTCTTCAGGGGTGATAACATAACGTTGAAAAGGTACGTGTTTGCCTTCAATGTGTCTTTCATACAAAACCTTCAACACCCTGTAACTTTCGGGGTGATGCCCGTCCTCTCTCGCGTACTTGTAGTAAGCCTGACGCAGTACATCATCTTTCTCTAAACAAAGTGTAGCATCTGGGTTGTCTCGAGAGTCTTCTTTCATTTTTTGGACATAAAACTTGTACGATTCCCATACTTCATGCATCTATTCTCTGTATCTAAGCCCATGAAAGATGTTGGGACTTCCTAGACTGTTAAAACCGTTGTCACACATTTCAAAGCCTTTGTCACATTTGCGTGTATGGCGCCGGTGTTGGATAAATGCTTTCTGTTTAACCTCTTGGCGATGTTTTTCAAACTTCTCCTTTATCTCCCCATAATGTTGGAGTCTTGTGACCCGTGGCTGAGGTGAATACGAGAGCCGATCCTTGATACCATGGCTGGTCTATCCACAGGAAAAATCTACACTCTTTTTTGTAGCATGTCAGAAACATTCGATCCTGGCTCCAAGGCTGTTTACTTTTTCTCAATGCTAGCTTGTTAGAACAATCACAGACCAACTGAGCTGCATATTTTTTCACATCAGAATGTGTATGATTGCGCGATCCACTCTATGTCCTCTTTCCAATCTGAAGCAGGGGCAAACATAAAACACATTTTCTCGGGGCACTACGCATAGCAAAATCCTTGCGCGTTTTCTACCAATTCCAACTTTGAGCGGGGATGAAACGGGCAGAACCAGGGCGAATAAATGTTGGGCGGTGGAACGAGCGCTCCCTCTTCATTTAATGTGTGATACGGAGTAGGACTGGCACGAGCGCTCCTTCCGCGCTTCTGGTGCGCTTGAAGGCCGGCGAAATTTTCGTTTTTGCAAACCGGAAATCCTAATTTCTTTCTGTAATTTCAGGCTACAATGTTAAATAGATAAGTTCGTTTCATAACAATATCAATAAACAGTTTCATATGTTTGTCTCTGTATGCCTATAAGTCAAACTTGTTGGTCGTATAATGCCAAAATTTGAGTTTAATTTGAAAGTGTTGAATACCTCCTCCTTCCATTAAATATCACCCAATCGTCTTTAGCCGTTTCGTTTGCAAAAGCTTAACACTTCTTAACCTCAATTTTTACATATGTTAAAGGAGGATAAATTTTATATAACATAACAAAAAGTTAGATTGATATATTTTGATATAGTGGTGTGGTACTGCTTCAAACTTTGCTTCTCGGGTGCAACACGCCATGGCGATTCGCGCAATGCGTCGCAATTCCGGCAACCGCTCGTAAACAAAATTTATTGAGGTTAGTTGTAAGGTTTTTTCTCCGTTTTTCTCTCTAAAACAAAACAAGGTAACAGTAAAAACTGAGGGGAAACTAATTTTGAAGTTTCGAAGAAACGGAAAGACGTATGAGATGTTTTTTTCAAAATTAAAAAGAAGGATGATGGTCATTGAAATTTGCATAATTTCACCTTGCACGAGCTTCACGCATTTATAAAATACACGTCATCTAGTAATGAAACACGATCTGCTGTCTTTTAGTTTTGCCATAGATGACATGGATGAGATTTTCCTCCGTGTTTTAGACAGAACTTAGTTGTTTTTGTTTGGAATAACATCGACGTTGGCGAGTAGTAGAACGAAAATATAATTCAGTGGTAGAGTCATGGAAGTAATAAGAGAAACCCTTTGAAAGAGATGTTTGTCTACTCCAATTAACCCTTCCGCAAAAAATTGCAACATTTGTCTCTCGGAGACAGCGTACTAGCACAAAGGAACGAGGAAGAAGTGCAAGAAAACAAATCAAACCGCCATAATTCAGTGACAGCGGCAGTGCCTAATGGACAAACCACATCGCAAGCCCTGACCGAAGTCGAAAACAAGCGACATTTCTAAGCAGAGTCCCAGTCCACTGCATCACACCTTTTTGCTCGGACGTGCTCGTTTCACCACCCAACCTTTATCCGCCCTGGGCAGAACTGGCCGGGTAAGGAACTGGCTTTATCTTCGGTCAGCACAGGTGAAGCGCTCGATTCGACTTGCATGTTTGAAGCGATGTTTTAGAAAATATTGGTGGTAATAAGACTTTTTTCCCTAGCAAACCGATTGCAAGAGTAATATGCTGAACGGAGAGCCCGCTTTTATTTTAAACATATAATAGATTGTTTACTATCCAATAGGGGTTAAAAGAGCCCGGGCAAGTCTAGGCAAGCCTATTGTTCCTATTGTAGTAGAGTGACGCTCATTAGTAAACCTATCCAGTTCATTATATATGGACGAAGGCACTTAATTGGTATGGAGGAAATCCAAATTAGTATGCGGGAAATCCAAGGGAAATCCAAAATGAGGTTAAGTTTCAACATAGTCTACTACTTGTATTTCATCACGACGGCACGCGGGAAGCAATTTCTTTGACGGATTGAAAAAGTACTATGGAGTAGGGAAGTGATGGAGCGAAAACCACCCATATCTTTTTAAAGCAGAAGTATTAAAAATATTCTTTATAAAGCTATCTAGATAGGTTAATTTTTTTAGTGAAATATTGAAAAAGGAATGACCCGGAGAGAGGGGCCAGCTCTATTATTTTCATGTGTTTGTCTGTGACTGATTCATCACTGCCAGTGTTACGTCACATACTAACGGGCGAGTGCCAGTCGGGTCGCATGTGCAAATTTGAACGGGACACCGAATTCATTCGAACCAGAGAGGTCGGGGAAAAAAATAAAAACCTAGGCAAATAGACCATAAGTGCATGAGCTTTGTTGTTGCTTTTACATCTGCTTGTGTAAACCGTCTTGGTATGTGGTGTCCGTAATTGTGTAATTCTTTTTTTTTTAAATTTGTGTCACGGCCGTGTTTACGGGACCAGCAAGTGCATAAAATTGGTAACGTCTAGAGTCTCCAGAAAAGGAGATTCGATTCAGAGGTCACACACGTTTATATTCCATATATTCTTCGCTGATTAAATCGACCATACTTCTAATCAATCCCTTCGAGTGTTGGCCTCTGTTTATTTCTCAATTCTCCATCAAATTCAGTACAGCTTGTTTGGTTGATTTTCTACAACGATCAGCCCTTTGAACCCGAAATAACTCGCCTATAAAAGTGACGGGAGTGCTCGAGTGATTGAAAGCTTTTAAAACTTAAGCTTAAATGCAATCATTGACAACCTTTTCTGAAAAGTAGAAAACTAGCGCGACAAAATTCAGTGAAAAACGACAGAATCTAGATTCAGACATCAAAAATGGAAAAAAAACTACAAATAGTGTATAGCTGCCGTAAGGCGACTTCTTTTACCGATCAGCGCAAACAATAGACGAACAAGTTTATTCCGATTTGAGTACTGGAGGGTTACAACAATAAGCAAGATGGTAGACTATTGACCCCAAAGACTCGACTGCCATTAGGGCCGATGTACCGTAATTTGCTGTATTTGATGTGTTAATTGAGTTCAGTAGGAAAAAAATAAAAATGTAATTCACCGGCCTTGGTCGATCCGTATTTGGAGAAACTGCCCGAGGTCTTGAGTACCTACCTGGGCCGTAGGCCGAGGGAGGTACTCAGACCGTGGGCACAGTTTTTCCCAATACGGATCGACCAAGGCTGGTGAATAACATTTTTATTTTTTTCCTACTGACATTTAAAAGTTTCTGGAAAATTTTACTTCAGCCTCCAACCTATGTGCGTTGGAGTAGAACGCGTTCGTGTTGATGAAGCGCGGGATCGATTGCAAACCAAAACAAAACATACAACGTGATTTTTAGCTTGTAATTAATATCATCACAATTCAGCTCTGAGCTCTTTCAGAATAAAGAAAGGCTTTTGTGTCTTGGTAGACAATTCATAATCTGAGTGTCAAACAAAGACAAAAGAATTTACGAACTTGATATTAAAAGCCACAGGAAAAAAAAAAACAGCAAAGATTTTCTTCGCCTAAATAATTACTTTATGATGGAAACTGCACACGGCTTTATAAAAGGAGCTAATTACAGATACCAATATTAAGGTTTTGACTATAAATAAATAAAAATTATTAGCTTTAAAAAAGTAAAATGAAAGCAACAAAAAGGATTCCTAACCTAACTGGTAACTTCTTAATCCTAACCTAACTTAACCTAACCCTAACCCCGGCCCTAACCCTAACTCGAGCTTTCCTTCCATGATTGCCACGAAAACCCTCCTCTTAATGGTCATGGGACTTGCAGGAAGTCAAAATGGTGGGAGAGCGAAAAATTGTCGAGTCCTGGCTCGAAGTCCTGGTTCGAGTCCTAGCTCGGTATATTGGCATCCTCATTGAAAGCTATTAAAACTTAAGCTTAAATGCAATCATTGACAACCTTTTCTGAAAAGTAGAAAACTAGCCAGACAAAATTCAGTGGAAAACGACAGAATCTAGATTCCGACATCAAAAATGGAAAACAAAACTACAAATAGTGTATAGCTGCCGTAAGGCGACTTCTGTTACCGATCAGCGCAAACAATAGACGCACAAGTTTATTCCGATTGGAGTCCTCGAGAGTTTCAGCAATAAGCAAGATGGTAGTTTATTGACCTCAAAGACATGACTGACATTAGGTCCGTTGTACCGTAATTTGCTGTATTTGATGTGTTAATTGAGTTGTGCTGTGTTGTGGTTTAAACTGAAACACAAGGTGAAAATAAAACTTCAGAAATACTGCGAGCGCAAAAGAAACACAGCAAAAATGAAATACAGCAAACGAATGGACAACGCACTTACATTGTTTTGGCGTAAAACTTCTGACCGTAAAAGAAATACTCCTGATAGGAAACTACTACTTAGTGCTCTTGAAGAAACAATAGGGCCATTTATACGAGGAAAAATAAGACCTGTCTTAAATAAGACGCGAGCTGTACCATTTATACGAGCATGTCTTATCTAATAAGACGCGTCTTAGCTAAGCCGCGTCTTATTTTAGACGAAATGTGCCGTTTATAGGGAAAGTTCCCGTCTTATGTAAGACGCGTCTTATTTTTCCTCGTATAAATGGTCCTAATGTTGAAATAAAAGCTGAACTGAAAATGCTAGATGGAGCAAGGTCACCCATGCACATTGCGTTGATTGTAGTGAATCCTTTATTAACCCACAATCATTTATTTTTTCTTGCAAGACTGTTCACAAAAATTTCACCACTTTGAAAAAAAACAAGATCTTCCAACCAGAGGAGGGTCTGATGTCGAACACTTCACTATCAATGGAAATCGGTTTCTCGCCTTCGCAAACTTTTTTAGTGATACCGAAAGATATAACACCGACTCTTTCATCTACAAACGGAACGATTCCACTGGAATTTTTTTCCTATATCAGCCTTTAGGCACACATGGAGGCATTGACATGGAATATTTTAAAATTGGTGATCAACATTACCTGGCTGTCGCAAATCATTATGATGCAACTTCGTACCGACAGAATTCAGTTATTTACCAGTGGAGTCTGAGTCAGGAACAATTCGTCGTCTTTCAAAGTATTGAAACATTTGGAGCACACAGCTTTGACTTCTTCGAAATAACAAATGGGCAGTTTCTTGCCATTTCAAATTATTATGATGGGTCCTCGCACAGTATCAACTCATTCATCTACAAATGGAGCAGTAATAAATTTGAAAAGATTCAAGACATACCAACCGAGGGGGCTGTTAGTAGTGAGACCTTTGTAATCAGCAATGAAACTTTCATTGCATTTGCAAACCATGGTACCACACAAAAGCAGTATTCAGTTCAGTCAGCTGTGTTCAAGTGGTCAGGGCGGCAATTTGTCAATCTGCAGTCTTTTCAGACATATGGAGCCCTAGATGTGAAGTCATTCAGTGACAACGGTTCTACTTTTCTCGCGTTTGCAAACTACAGACACGGTGTGCAACACAATATCAATTCTCCCATTTACAAGTGGAATGGCAGTAATTTTGTTCTATTTCAGTCCATTCCCCCTCGTGGAGCAGCCAGCTTGCATCCTTTTATGATGTGCGGTCAACGTTTTCTGGGTGTGGCTAGTTACTATGATGACGACAACGGGTACAACACCATGTCAGTGGTATATCGAGTTTCTCAGGAACAGTTCATTGAATATCAAGAAATTCCAACCCAGGGAGCTTTTGGTATAACGTCATTTCAAAACAAAGGGCATACTTACCTAGCAGTTGCAAATCGTTTAACTAATTCTAACAAACACAATATCAACAGTGCGCTGTATAAGTGGGCCTAATACGGGGCGCCTCGCCAACAAAGGCCACTGACATAGATATCGTTAGGCCAACTATTTCATGGTTACCTCTAGTAGTGTCATTTCAGTAAATTTACATCGCTAGAAGTTATTTAATGTGAACATAGTATTCCTTATATCCAGGTATGATACAGAGTAGATTACGTGAAAGTATAGTATAGTAAACCTTTATAACTAGGGTAATCCCTTCAGAATACTTAAAAGTATATCTGTTATCAATAGGAGCCCTAAGAGAGATACCTTTTATCCCAAAAATGGC